TAAATTTGTTACATTTGATTTGGACATTGGATATTTGTTTGGCTTTGATGTTTGAATTGATACATTTGATTAAGACTTTGGATATTTGTTTGGTTGATGTTTGGACTTTGATTATTCCATTCTGATTGGATTTGGTTTATCTTTAAACTCAAAAAAAGCTTTAAAGGATTTTCTAAAAATAATGAAATTGTTTTAGAACTAAACTATTGTATTATTCAAAATCTACTTTAAACATTTTCTTCTTAAATCGATTTTAAATATTTGTTTCCATTTATAATACCTGAACATTTTATAAATAATTGATTTCATTTCAAAGGCTATGTATGGGTTTTCAAACTTTATTGTATTTAAAACATTTTGAGAAAAATTTGTATTTGTTTAGGAACAAGTGTCAAGATTCCATGGATATTTGATTGTGTTTGGGACGTGACGTGGAATTCTCTGAAATATTTGATACACTTGCAAAAGCAAACTTTGAGAATCTTTGAAATATTTGATACGCTTGCAAAAATGGGCTTTGAGTTTTTCTTTTTTTTTTTTTTGAGATATTTGATGCACATACAATAAGCGGATTTTGGAAATTTTTGAAATATTTGACAAGTTTAAAGAGATGACTTTGGATTCATCTGAAATTGCTATAATTACATTATTCTGAAAGTGTATTTGCCAAATACTCTTCCATTTGGTTTGTTCCCCTTTTCTGTATTTGTTCATGAAGTTATTTATAACTCATACATGTAAGATGCATTTGTTCTTGTAAATCAATGCATTGCTTGGTTCATTGTCCTTTAGGAAGATCAACTTCCACAGTCAATTTTGGTAGGTGATTGGTAACGCATCCAGTAGGCATCAGCCCTTTTGCTTGAGTCATACTCCACTGGTCTATCTACTACGTTTGTCTTGTTAAGTTGGGCTATGGATGGCATGCTCGAAACTACACAACAAAAAGAAAATTAAAACTTTAAAAACAAAAACAAACTTCCACCCATGGGTCATCATGGTGATATTTTAACATATAAAATAGCATATAAAATCATAAAATCAGAAGCTAACCTTGGTAATCTTCTTTTGATCCGAATAGTAATCTCCTCAATGCAACTCGCGAACACCACAAGAAATAAGAACCCTAGTCAATCAAGCTCTTGGCCTCTAACGATAGTACACACGATTTCATTTGAACCTTTCAACAAAGAAAGGAGATTTTAACTACGTTTTGTTGCTGGCAAAAGGGGACAACATTTGTCCCTTTCCACAAGGATGGCTGAATCACACACTTGTAAAAATTGCTTCAAAAACAAATTTTCTTCTTCACAAAGTAAGTGAGGGCACATGAGAAAACTGCTGTTTTTCCTTTTTTTTTGACAACTTTTTTTCTTTATATGTTGAAAAATAGTTAAATGTGATTTATATAGTTAGGTTAAAATTAACTTTATTTTACAATAAGGCCCTTCAAATTATAACACATTACAATATAGGCCCATGACTTAATTAAACTATATTAATTAAGCCCAATGAAAATTAAATTGAAATAATTTCCTTTATATTATTGCAATTTTGACATTATAATTATAATTATTTATATATTATGCCTAAAACTTAATTAAACTCTTTTTAATTAAGTTTATAGAAGTTAATTAGCTAACATGTGATTTAAGTCTAACTTAAATCATTACTCACTCAATTTAATTCAAACGCAATCATTGGGAGTGACCGATTAAGTTCCTAATATGTTGTGAAATCTCACCTTGAGTAAGAGGATAAGTTAGGAAATCCTTAAGTGAGCATATAGATTTCATGTTTGGAATATCAAACTTAGCTTTAACCTTCAAAAGAATTCACTGACACTTTAGGTTGTCTGTCACTTTAAAGCAAAAAATTGTCTAAGTCTATAAGGGGTTAAATTATATATGTGATTTTTATAGAACCATCTTTTGAAACTGATAAATGACGATAGTGATTCCTTTGATTTTTAAATAACCAAAAATGATTTTTTTTCATAATTTTTGGAGTATGTATGCGATGACAAATGGGGGCTGCAATTTAATTTCGGTCGAACTTTTTCGATTTTGTTCTTGAAACCAAATTTTATATTTTGATTCTTTTGGATTTTTTTTTATATATTTTTATTGAATCCAAATGGGGGGTTGTTTGCTTATTTACATTAAATAACTTAATAAATGGAGAGTAAAAAGTAAAAAAGACATTTACGTAAATGGTATTTAAATAAAGTAGGTAAGCTTTATAGGTAATCTATCGCAGAAACTGCATTATGTTTCAAATGTATCGATACATATGTTTTTGATGAGCATGTATCAATACATGTTCATAATGTATCGATACTTTTTTTTAAGAACCAAATGTATCGATACATTTCGTCAATTTCATAAAAGTAAAAGGAGTAAAAACATATTTTCACACCCTAGCTTATAAATATATCACATTTTCTAAGGGTTAGCAACCCTCAGTCGCATTTTGAAGGTAAAACCCCAACTCTTAAGTTTTTCCAACCCACTTTTGCTCAAAATCACCATTTTTGACAGATTTGAGCTTGCTTTTAGATTTTAAATGAAAAATGAGATTTTTCTTACTCTTGAATCCTTAAACCTTGGATTTTTTTTATTTTGAAAATATTGTTTATTGCTCCAAAATTATTGATGTCTACAAACTAGAAGATTTGGCTGGATTTTCTCACTTGCTATAGCTCACCTAAGGTAAGAATATTGATTTTATGGGTTTGTTCAAATAGGTATTTTGATGAGCAATAGATTTAGTCCAAAGAATAAGTATGGGCAAACCCAAATAATTCGAAGTATCATAGAACAATTATTATGCGTTTCCTAAACTAAGTATTAATGAAAAATATTTATTTGGGTATTTAAGAACCGTTGAAATTTCAAAAATTTCATTGGTGTAGACTTTCAAGTACTTGCTAAAATTCAATTCACTTTTGAAACTATATGAATATATAAAGTTGAAAGCATGATTACATGATTTTATGGATTTGCTATGAGCATTGTTGCCATAAATATTTAACTAAGGAAAAATATGTTTATGGATGAGAAAACGTTTTGAAATGGTTTTCAAAACATTTATGTATAATTAAATTTCTTACTATGTAGTAGTTTTCAACAAGAGGGACAAGTCTTTTGAATGTTTTAAACAATTCCTTCGATTACTGTAGCTTTTAGGCTAGTGTAGGTACAAGATATTAGTTGAGATAATGATTGTGGTTAAATGAATTGCTTTTTGCATATGTGTACCGTGAATGTGGATTGAAGTCTCCACATTTCCGTGATAGTTGTTGTGATGTGGATTGAGAAGGTCTCCACATTCCTCCGAATTTGTTGTAAAGTGGATTGAGTATGTCTCCACTTCTCATGATTTTGTTGTAAAGGGAATTGATTATTTCTCCGCTTCCCATGAGTTTGTGGTAAAGTGGATTGAATAGGTCTCCATCTCCCATGAGTTTGTTGTAAAGTGGACTGAATAAGTCTCCACTTCCCATGATTTTGTATATTAACTTTAGTCTTGGTATGGGGGTAAGAATACCACAAGACTAAGTTAGACACCGTACCACTTTTTCCTTTTTTGTGAATCCTGGTGTAGGGATGAGAATACCATAGGAATGAGTTAAGCGAAGTTCCCATCTTGGTCTAACCTAAAATCCACCGCTTAGAGGTATTCTTGCTATTCTTGTAAAGGTTCTACCTCATCCTTGAAAAGTTAGTGTGGGTTTGTGGTTGAGCCCATTAAAAACCATTATAAGGATTGTGCTTGCTTTCATTAAAAGTTATTGTAAGGGTTGTGCTTGCTTCCATTAAAAGACATTTGTAAGGATTGTGATTGCTCTTAAAAAAAAGACATTGTAAGGGTTTAATGATTGATCTCATTAAGAAACATGATATCTTGAGTGGATTTGAAACTCTTTAACTTGCTAAGAGAAAGGACATAAGCATTTGAAAAATCCAAACCTCTGTAAAGTACTTGTGTCTTCTGTTTTATTTTTACTTAGTTTGCTGCATTTCATTTCAAGAAAATCCCATTCACTGCGTCAAAACTGTCTTTGGAATTTCTTCTACAAGCTTTGAAAATGATTTTTCTGATCTAAGATCAACTATCACTACTTTATAGTCGACTAAAACATTACCTGCATTCTTCAAAAGTTTATTTCTGATATAGGATCAACTATAGATTTATTGTAGTCGACTATAGTTACTTGATTCTCACATTGCTAAATTTTTAAAATCCAATTCACTCCTCTCTTGGATATTGTTGTTAATTGATTCATTAAACTAACATTTCTATCATCCTTAGATCTTCTTTCTTGGATTTATAAGAGTTTTGGAGACTTTCTTCTTAAGAATTTTTTATTTCTCAATCATGCATCAAATGGTTTGGAAGAAAATTGTATTTATAATGTTAGATGAGAAAAATTCAATACAAATTTGATCTCTTTAATTTTATCACTAAATTATTTTAATTTAATTATATATAAAACACTCATAAACATTCTTTTGATTGATTAAAATTTTGATTGATCGAATTTTAATTTTAATTTTAAATTATTTTAATTTATTTAGAGATAGATTAAATAATTAAATTTTAATTTTATCTCCAAATTATTTTAATTTACTTAAGAATAAATTGGATCATTAGTAAGTGAATTTTATATGATCAAATTGTGAATATTTAAAATAATTAGTCATAAATTAATTACATAATTAGCTTAAATAATGTCATCAAATCCACCATGACAGATACATAATTCATTTTTGGAAAATTTTTCCATTTACTAATTTCGAAAGACTTGGCACCTATTTGAATAAAAGTTTTCACCTGCTATTATATTAAGCTTATTTGATTGGTACCAACACCAAGTCACGCTTATTTAATGATCATTATGTTTGAATTAAAATAATTTTTATAGCTTATCCAAAATAAATTAAAAGAAATTTTAAGCATTTATTTGCTGAAATGACAAAAAGAGAAGCATAAAAGGGAACAATAAAAAGAGCTTAATTAAAAAAAAAAAAAAAAAAGAGAACCCTTCTCTACCAAAAGGAGAGGGTGAATTCCCCCATTTTTCTCACCAGTGGTTTTTACACCTGAACTCACTGTCTTGGAGAATTCCCTTCTTTACGTCTTACCAGGGCAACATAAAACAATACACCCAATAGGCAAAGTGAAAGTTTAAATGGACATACTTAACTAGAACACATGGACATGCACAAAGAAAAAAACAAAAAACTAATTTCTTCCATCCATTGGGATGGAGAATGGGAAAATTGGACCTTGACTATTGCCATAAGTTTGATTTACAGAGCCTTATACAGTAAGCGGAAACTGTGAGGTATTTACACACCAAAATTAACGACGCAAAGAGCAGATCCCCTCACTCCCTCAGGCATTTGAGGTGGAGCAGTTGGCATTTGCAGAGTCAACCTTAATTACCCTGGTGTTGTATGATCCGCAATAACCACACTTGTGATACAACCAGTGAAATGGTGCAATTCCCTTCTTATCACAGTCATTGCACAGTATATCCTGGATTAACAAAATCAGTTTGTCAATGTTCCCAAAAAAGAATAGCTCGGCCTTTAAGAGAATGTAAAAAATGTCCTCCGCCATTTACCTGACAGCGATTCCTGTACTCTTCTGGAAGCTGCTCAGAAGTCAGAAGCGCATCAAGCATGCCAAAGTAAACCTAAATACAAGGGTAAATAAAAAAGCTTGAGAAGAACTGGACAGTTCCAGGTTCCAACTAGCTAAATTATTATCAGCTAGAAGTCTCTCTGCCATTTCTTATGTGAGGTTAATAGTGTATGAGGGATGCGCCCGCCTGTGGCTTAGAAAAGAAATGCTTGTTGATGAATGAGATGGCATGCCAACCGGCCACCAACCTTCAGTATTTTTTGGGCACTTAATTGCTGTAACATTTTTTAAGTCCCTGTCCCTGTTTGGTTCATAAAAAATATAAAGAGCACAAAAACAAATTTTTCTTGTGTTTGGTGAAGATGGAAATAATGATGGAACACTTTTAAAGGCTTTGTTTGGTTCATGAAAAATATGATATAAATAAATATCAATGATTAAATATAAGAAAAGAAAATGAAAGGAGGTTTTATTCCTTAATTTGTTTGGATGAATTAGGAAAATATCAAGTATATTTTTATACATCTTTGCAAAGGTGAAATATATAAGAAAACTAAATGAGAAAAAAAGAATTAACCCATAGTTGATTTTTTTTTGGTAGTATCATTCTCAAGCTTTTCTTCCATTTAACTAACTAGGTTCAAGTTTGGCCCTTACTTCTTGGTTTAGGCTTAACCCATCCCTTTCTTACATTATCCTTTTGGCACTAAACCTAACTAACGTAATTTTATGCTTTATCTCCCTCCCCCTCACCTTTTAGATCTCCTCCTTTTCCCTCAACTTCTTGTCCTCCTAAACCTCTCTGTTGTTACCACACTTTCAACAACCATTGGAGCTGTCATTAAGAAGCTTGCTGCAGCCAAATCCCTTAATTTTTATTGCTCCAATTGAACTTCCTCACTTTTTCTCACACTTCTCTCTCAGTCTCCTCTCTATGGTGCTTGTTATTGAAATCAATTTTCTTGTTGGAGGTGGAGGACCAAGAAGTTTTGCTTCAACAACCACCACCATGGAGGAGAGAGAGAAAGAGAGAGAGCAATCAAGAGAAGAGGGAGGAAGTTAAATTGGAAAAAGAAAATTTGAGAGTAAGGGATCCAATTGCAGAAAGCGTTGCCAGTGGCAGCTTTGATAGTTGGCAAAGATACAATAACAACAATGAGGCTTAGGATAACAATTTTAGAGAAAGGAAGGAAATATGAAATGTGACAGAGAAGGAGATGGAGCAAAAAATGAAAAACAATAAAACTATGCCATTTAGGTTAGTGACAAGCAAAAATTATAGAGTAAAAGATAATAAAGGCCAAACGCAAACCCAGCTAGAGAGAAGAAAACAAGGAGAAAAGCTTGAAATTGATGTATCAGATATTTTCAAAATTATGGATTCTTTATTTTTTTAAAAAAAATTTTTTTTATTTAGTTTTATTATATATTTCACCTTAACAAACATATATAAAAATATATTTTCCTAGGACATACAAACAAACTAAGAAATTTCAGTTTCCCTCCATTTTCGTTTCCTTTATTTTTCTTCTACTTTATATTTTTCCTTAGATAAGGAAAATTAAAAATTAAACAGAATAAAAGTTGCATCAAAAAAGGACAGAAAATTGAGTAATTTGGGCCTTCAAAGACCCTCATGAGAATTCCAAAAATTTTGACAATTTCAACTTTTATTTTGCCAATAAAAGTAATTTTTTTTTAGAATTTGAAATCCTTTCCCTAAATGAAATTCCTCCTTTAAATCCCTCAACCAAACACACTCCAAAAGTTGTCCTAATAATAAAAGTAAAAATTACATCCATTGTCCTAAAGCTCGCCTCAAAAATCATTTTCGTCCCTACAATTTCAAACATCACATGTATGTCTTAAAACTTCTAATTTGTATCAAAAAACTCCTTCCATCAATCTAACCGTTAATTCTTCCATTAACCAGCCAATTGGAAGTTACCAAAGCAACACATCTTCCAATTATTGAGTAAACAGTTTTTTTGTAGCGGCCAGACTGACGCAAGGATATTTTTTATATAAATTGAAATTTTGTAGGATAAAAATGTGACATTCCAAACTATGAAAACAAATATGATTTTTGAGTTGAACTTTAGGGATGACAAGTGCAATTTACTTTGATAATAATTGTAAAAGATACTTCAAACAATTAAAAATGCCATCTTGAAACAAAATATCAACCTCCCTAAACCCTAATGAAATTCTGGAACAACGTTTTCTGTAAAGGTGGCAAACGGCCGATTCAGGTTGGTACTTTTCAAGTCAATATTTTAAAACTAAACTAGAGGTTAAACCAATAAGGGTCTCCATTCTCGGTTCAACCAGCCAAAATAACTAAAGGGTGGTGTTATTGTTATAAAAATGATCTTGGCATTAAATAAGTAACAGATATAGTAAATGCTTAAAAAAGCATACACTTGCTCAATTGTACGGTCATTAATGGAACGGTAAAGGCAGAAGTTCAAATCCCACCATTTGAAAAGAATTTTTTGAAAGATTAAATATTAAAATAAATGTTTAAAACCAGTTCAACTCAGATAAGCCTGATTCAACTAGATGGTTAACTAATTCTTAACTGGTTCGATATTCGTAAAGCCTAAATGACCCTATCAACTCAGATAAGCCACTAATTCCCAATTGAAACAGTCCAATCCGATTTTTAAATTATTGCTTTATGTCGGGTCATTTCAGGTGCAATGCTCAGGTCATTTAGGTGCAAGTCATTTCAGGTTCAAGTAGATGACTTTTAAAGTCAAATTGAGTAGGATTTGATGACTTTTAAAAATAAATTGAGTAGGATTCAAGCAGATTATTCAATTCAAGTCAAATTTTATCAAACTTAATTAAGTTATCCAAGTACGCATTTTTCGCTTCAATTTTAATTGTCTAATATCATAAAAATAATTTTTTAAAATTCATATAAAAAATAAAAACAAGAAAATTAAAAAGTTGTTTACTAATTTAAAATTATTGTATATCACATATTAACAGTTTACTCCCTCAAAGAAATCATTAATGTTTTTTTGACTAATTGATATTTCATTTTCATTTTACTTGCATTGATTATTATTAGTGATTCTTACAGTTACAACTTACATGGTCAATAATATGTAACATCTATTAAAGATAAAATAAAGTAATATGGTTAAGAGTAGGTATCCAATTATTTTTATTGTTAATTACTTTTCTAGCTTATGGATTATTTTTTGTGTACAAAGTTATTTAATCTATTTTGGTTATCTATCTTATTATTTGGTAAGAATGAAAAGCAAAAAACAAATAGAAACGAAATATTGTCTGTATGATATATAATTGTAAAAATAGAATTTATTTATAATAATATAAAGAAATTTTTTTTATTCTTTTTTTTATTCACCAAAAGGATTTGAAACAAAACAAAATTATATAAAAGTTAGAAATACAAAAGTAATGAAAAGAGATTTTATATTTTTTATTATCTTCTAAAACTATTCATAGACTAATAGTTTATGTTATAGTTATTATTTTTAAATAAATTAATATTTTACAGATAAATATGAAAGACATTTATTTTTTATTATCTCTTACAGTTAATAATATTGTAATAGTTTGTGTTATTTTTATTAATTTTCATCAAATTAATATTTAAAAGACAAAAAATAAAACTATACTAAACTTAAGTTACAGGTTGTTTGGGTTTGGGATCAATTCATGCTTGAATCATTTGGATTCAATTCATTTCAAGTTTGAGTTGATTTGGATTCAAGTAAATTCCAATTCTGAGTTGGGTGAGTTCAGGTTGTTGACTTTTTCTGGTCAAATCAATTCAGTTGGATTCAAGTAAGATTTTCAGGTTAGGATCAGCTTTGTCACCTACACTTATATACAGACTTAACTTGAAATAATAGTATGCTTTTAAAAGGGATTTTCTTACCGCCATGTCTCCCATTGACTTGCTACATATTGGGCAGATGTAGTGACTGCATGCATATGCCTGAATAAACAAAGAATGTGCAGAATTTATTTTTGTCATTACACCAAGGAAAAAATTGATAAAAGAGCAGGAAACGAAGAACAAAGCACAACACAATAGACCTGAAAACATGCTGAATGCATGAAATGACCGCATGGAAGCGCTCTAACACTTTCACTTGATGTGAACAAAAAATCACAGCATATAGGACAGTTTGTTTCTAGCCCTTTCTCTCGACACTTGTGGTCCACCAACTTCTTGGCCAGACAGCAGTTACATACCATGCAATGGAAGAAATCATCACCAAGTCCCTTTCCAACGCGGCACAAATTGCAGAATGGACAATGATAAACAGTCCTGAAATAAATGAAAGAGATGCAACATGAAAATTTATGGAACAAATATCAGAAGCAGTCACGAACTATTGTTCCAAAACTATCAAACGTTTCCATACTGAAACAAGAAAATGTTCACAGAATTCTCACAAGAAATTGAACCTGCATTCTAAAGAAGAGTTCAGTCTTTCTACAAGGCATGGGACTGTGACAGACTTAGAAAGCCCTAAGGAAGAAACAAAGCAGAGAATGGAGCAAACAAGCTACGCATATTTTCTTCCAATGTTTGGGGGTTTGTGTATTGCTCCAAATGGTCAAGACAGAACAGACTCATCATACAAACTTAAAAGTTACTGAATATTTCTAGCATTTGTTCATACTATATATTCAAAGGCTCTTTACATCTTCTAACATAAATAAAGTCAGAAAAGAGTTCTAAATAAAAATTTCTAGTACCTTTCATCATCAAAAAATTTGCAGATGCTGCAATAGTACTTTGCCATTGAGAGCCCATCACAAGAAGGTGTCGTGCAAACTGGTCCAACAGGCTGGATTTTTAGGCAGCTCATGCACATCATTTCAGTCGTAGCCTTCCTGCACTTAAATAAATATATAATCAAGCTTACAAAGTCCATTTGAAACCAAGAAAGCATGAATGGCACAAAATTACCTATCCATTGAATGGTCACTGACTTTATCATGGCAAAACCTGCACGTATATAATTTGCCACAGCAAGCAGCATGGAGTTTGCAATTTCTTTTGTAATGTTCACATCCAAATTCCTGTTTCTCTGGATCTCGGAAAGATGGAGAGAAGCCAAGTACGTCTTCACCATTTGAACCTTCAACTGCAGTGGCTTGAGGAGACTTTTGCTGAGCAGCTATCCAGCGACTGGCATAACCCACAAAGTGATTAGGATGAGGCAATAATATCCACATATATACACATAGTATTCATAAGATTGTTTTAGGCTAGAAGAAACCTGGTCATAAGATTTTGAATAAGATAAGCTTTTCTCCTTGGATCAAGAGTTGAATCCCGAGAAACTTTTCTGATCTCAGCTTCAAGCTCATTTTGATTCATCCGAAAGATATCCTTCCAGCCAGGTTTAAAAGTAAGATCACTTTGATCGAGGCTTTCATGGACATCAGTGCCTTAAAAGAGAAATTTTCAATTTCATTAGGAGGAGGTCATATCTGAAAATCCTTAGATTCAGACCTCTAGGAATTTCAAAAAAAAAAAAACAACTTAACATTTCAGCCTGGCAACCAAAAGAGTCCAAAAAAAAATAAAAGAGACAAAGCTCAGATGGAAAGAGCATCAACCAAACCTATTGAAATGCAACTCTCAGATGTTGATGTAGATGAAGATGCAGCAGGACTTCCTTCCCACCATTCATTAAGCCACTCACTGAACATTGTGTTCTTGGTTGCCTGTTTCCATGTGTCCATCATTTTGTTCTGCTCCTCCTGAGTAAGAGCAGAAGTTACCCATGGTAACATTGACTGGAGGACCTCTGCACCTGTAGTACCAATTATTCGACCAACAATTTTGTCCTGCTCCTCGACAGAAAAATGTCTGTCAAACAATGGCCACAGCTCAAGTTCCTCCCGGAACACATGTTGATCCAGTGTTACTCTAATCGATTTGCACATGCCCTGAAGCTTTGTGGCTTTCTCATTGTACTTTCGCATTGTATCATTTTGCTCAGAAGAAACAGAGTTAGTTTCATTTAAGTTATCATACACATTGATATTGTTCAAGCATTTACAAAGTTGTGTAAGCTCAGAAAGTGCAGATGAAATATCTTCAAAAAGCCTCTCCTCCTGCTTATGATCCAGAGTGTAAGAGTGGCTAACATTATGAAGAGTCTCCTTAGATTCTAGTGCTGGAAATACTATATCATCTTCTGCATTACTGTGAGCTCTGTATAAACCCCACAACAAGCGAAATCTGCCAGTGAACTGCCTAAGGAAAGTCTCATTGCAATCATTAAGTTTTCCAGATTCAACATCCAAATATTCCAAATCTTTGCGGATGGCTTTATGAAATTTGAATATATTATCAATAGGTCGTAATGTTCCAACATCGGTAGAGCTGATATCTGTTTCCCAGTTAAAAAGACTTGAGTTGAGGGAGGGAGCAGAAGGAGAAAAAGATAATGACCGCAGAGATTTTGCTGTAGCCAGAGAACTCATGCCCAGCTTACTGCTATTCACTCCTAAAGCTGGGACACAGCAAGACTGATTACTACGGGATAATTTATGACTATTTACTCTTCCTGTCAAGTGCATAGAATCAGATTCTTCTGATGACAATAAATTTCCACGCTTGACTAGCCTTTTATTTTCATCTGCTTGAACACACAATGGCCTTTCCTCTGTGGAACAGAGAGAGGTGCATGCACAGAGTGGTTGGTCAATATCTTTCTGGGTTCTAGTAAGTATTCTTGCAGGACAACCACCAATTGCACCAGAAGACAGACAAACATCTGCAGAGCGACCTTTGCATGCCCAACCAGAAAAAAGTGTTACCAATGCAGAGTTCGATGGAGGAGCTGTCCATATAACTCTGAAAGTTAGAAAATGACAAAAAGGAATAACATAACCTACAGCACTCAATCAATATTATCAAACCTGCCAAATACATGTTTTGAAGGAAAGACCTAGCTTCTTCTTCACTTAACGATCCTACCAACCATGGTAAGACACACTCAATCAATTTCAAGGGCATCACACATAAGCTCTGATAAAGAAGTTCTCGCTGTCTTTGAGGGCTAAAGTGCTTTCGAGCAAGTGGAAGTACCTACAAAAGCAGCACAGCATACCTTATAGACAGTACTTTTAAGAGCAATAAGAGATGCACAAACATGGTTTCAAGTGATATGTGCTTCTCAAATTGCAGACAATTTGATGCAACCATTATACAAATGTTAAGAAATGCAGAATTATGTATCTAAACAAAGCAGGCAGAGAAACTCATCATACTCAAACAACAAAAAACTTGCCTGTACTTCTTCATTATGGAAATGCTTCTGTATGCTATCCATTATTTGATCAGCCTGCGAGCACAATTTTACATAGAATTCAGCAGCTGATGAATTGGCTCCCGCACTTTGAATATTTTCGATAAGGCATCTGAGCTTGTTAAATTGGATTTCCTCTTCTGCATGCTCCTGAGCAAATGATAGTTCTGTATCTACAGCAGGGAATATAACTCTGTCCTCAGCAATACTGCAGTCAAGGAGATGAGAGAAGTTTATGTTGTAGCATGTAACTAGTCATAACAGCAGCTAATAAATTGTACTGATACTTTTCATGCATCAAATCATAAAATTGAAGTTTTTTGGTGCATAAAACAAACTCTGGATTCAAAAGTACATGCAAGATAATAAAGCATTAGCTATGAAGTATAAGAACCATAATTAAGGAAGAACATTAATTCTGTACACCTCTTTGAAACATAAAAGCAGCATCAACATTATCATCTTTATCAGCATAGAACTATCAGATGGGAAAACACAGAGAAAAGCCACACCTGTGAAAGATGCAAACTTCAGCAATGAATTGCAGCCTCTTGTTGAAGCCAGATAAATCAGAAAAATCACCAGCAAGTTGTATATTCTTAGCAGACTCAGCTATATCATTCAATTCTCGTCTTATAGCATTATGCCAAAGCATTATTTCATCTATAGGACAGGACAGAGTGGAATCCTTAAGACTAGAACTCAGCTCCATATATTTCCTTTTACCACTTTTGGAAGATTCACATGCGCAATGACCACTCTCAATTTGACTTAGTAAGACACTAGTCCCAGAAGCTTCACATCGAGCCTCAGAATCATCTTTGCAACTTTTACATTTACCAGCCTTCTTTACACCTTCCATCCAGGTGAAAACAACCTTCAGTGAACAGAACTTAAAATGTGAGATTTGATTCTAGGAGGAACTTTTGAGTTTCAAATAATTACTATCCTATATAACCAAGAAGGCACCTGCTGAAGAAGTTTCTCTTTTGGAATTATCTTGCTCAAGCACTTGTGCATATCTTGATGTTCATCAGATGATATAGAGGAGGAAAGCCATGGAAGAAACTCAACCATCATATTAACAGGTATGCTGCAAAGAAATTGCCATACCAATGATGCCTGCTCTTCAAATGTAAACTTCTCAATAAGCAAGGGGAATACCTGCCATTTCCACAGCAACCAAGCGAAATTAATATAATTTTAACTTAGAATATTTAACTTCTTTTTTTTTTTCAGTGGAATAGAATGTGTCATGCTGAGTGATCTGACACATATGAAGCAAGACTGAAATAAGTAGAGAAAACATTCTTTTTGAACAAGTAACACAAAGCAGGTCATTGACTATTGACACCATCCTAAACAGTAAAATTCAACAGAAAAAGAATCCAAATAACTCATTGACATTTGATCTCCAAAAACTTTCAGAGTCTGACTAGCATTAAGTGTCTACCCTCCATTTTCCAACTAATTTCCACAAAAGTTTGGAAGAAACCTTTCCATGGTGATACAGCACTCACCTTTCTGTGGATCATTCAATATTAACCAGAGGCTTTGCAAAGTTAAACAACTCAGCTGGAACTCGGAATTCTCTATGTTTTCAAAAAAAGTTTTTCCTATTTTCCCACGTTTTGATGATTTCTAGACCCAAAAAAAAAAAAAAAGGTTAATGCATCCCAAGAGGACAACCCAGCGGTCCAAACTTAAGACATCAATTTGAAGGTCTTAGATTTGAATCCTCGAAAGGAGGAGGAGCAGGTCTTCACATGTACCCAAAAGAAATGCAAAAGCAAACTTAGATGCTTCCTTCTCGCTGATCATACTATCTTAGGGCAACACAAACCATAGTTAAAGAAAAGAAAATTCAACAGTCTTAGTTCACAAGGATACCAAGTGGGCAAGATCATAAATTTTTCAGAAATCATGAGGTAACCAAATTGATGCCTAATAGCAATGGAAGGAGTCCACCAGAGCGAGCAGTATAAAAGAGAAAATATCCACTGAGAGTTCTAGCTCTGTTCAACTAATAATTTGAAACTTTGTCAGTTGACCAATGTGCTGAAATAAAAGCAATGGCCAACATGAACCGCACAAGAATGAAGACAATCATCTCAGACATATACTTCCTCAACCTCATGCACCTCCAAAACACAATAAAACTCCTGCTTTAGAGCATCAAGAAGAAAACAACCAAGGTTTTAGGACACAAGTTGTTCATGCAGCATTTGGTTTAAGGATTAAAATTAAGCATTTGCCTCAAATATCTAACACAGATTATTTTAGAAACAAACAGACACCTGTTCCTCTTCCTTGGACATATGCTGAGTGACTGATGTATGAAGGGCTCCAGTGCAAGACGCTAACTCTCTCCGATAGCTTTCTTCATTCTGCATATCTGAATTCAGCAACGCAAACAACTGATCAAAGAGGACACTTTCACCCTCATGTTCAAGTGAATATGTTGGAGCCACATTCTTCACACGTATATCAAGAGCTGGAAAGATGACCTACAGATAAGATAGTTTTGAATTCAGTCTCACCCTAATCAGTCCAAAATATCAAACAAAATCTAAGGTGATGACGCAGCCAACAAGAACCTCATGGAAAAAGAAAGATCAAACAAAAAAATTCAGGCTCATTAAAGACCTTGGTTTGTCTAAGCCCACTTGTATTTACATGATTACTTAAACTAACAAAAATTCTGTTTAGTTCACTAACGTTTTCCAAGTAGAATTCTACACAGCCGAGCTTTACAAAAACTTATTCACATATCTAAATATAGTGATACATTCGTGTTCTTTAATCAATTTCAATAAAATTCTTTCCTCAAACAATAACCTATAAAAGACGAAAAAAGCTTCAAAATTTACGAATTTAGTAACAACTCTGGAAAGCTAGTTTTCGGAAATGAGTTGAGAATTATTCCGAAAATGGTAAATAGTAAAATGAGAAGAATGAAAAAAAAAAAGGGAAAAAAATGAATGTTCTGTGAAAGGAGAAGAATCACCAAAAGGACAACATACGAACCTCATCTTCGGCGTGACAATGGTGCTTATATATAGCACGTAGGAAATGATATCTCTCCAACAAAGAAGTAAGGTCAGCGTCGTGGTAGTTGGTGGCAAAAGCCATGGCGGCTCTATGGAGGCCGTCGAGCTCAGCCTTGATGGCCTTGTGGAAGAACAAAAAAATGAGAATGGGAGATTTAGAGGCAGAGTTTTTCAAGCAAGATTTGGAAGGTGCGGATGGGTCTATTGGGTTCAAAGGACCTGCCATTACCGCAACACCTCCTCCACCGGCTTCTAAGGTCGAGAATGGAGTCGCCATTATAGAGGAGAACTTAAAAGTGGTTGCGGATTCGGATTTCCAAAAACCCTAGATTTTTTGCCAGTTGAAAGAATTTTGAGATTTCACAGCTTTTTCTTCCCCTTTGTGGGAGTGAATGTGCTTCTTCCTCTTTTATTTTTGGCCTTCTCTGCTTTTTGTTTTTTTGTGTTTTTTTTCTGTTTTTTGTTGCCTTTTCTCTCTCGTTGGTTAGAGGAGAAAAAGGGCGGGAGCGGGGCAAAAGGCTATGCCCAGTTTCGTTGCGGTAGATGGGAGGAGACATTATATCGGTCCACGTGGCGCCAATCCCCACTCTATCTATCTTTCAACTGATCTTCGCTGGACTATGGCCGTGCGTTACACACTGGCCTTTTTTACCTCTATTTACTTCAATTTTTTTTTTTCTTCTTTCCATGCTCTTCACGTGATAAAATGAAGAAGCTCTTTTACGAGTCTTTTAATTATGTAATAAATTTTTTTTATGAATAATTTTCTTAAAGAAAAAGAAAAAGTAAATAAATATGTTAGTAATTTACCAAAGGATTTTGATCAAGATAATTGGTGATAACCTCAAAATTAAATCATTTTATTACCATAATAGTTGTCCAAAATGTCAAATTATATTAGAATTTATGGCTAAGGAATGCATCATGTCTTTTGCTATCCTTTGATCCTATTCCAACTCCTTGTTTTTTCTTCTTATTTACATAATATTTCCCCATTTTAATATGCATTATTATATTACTCTAATTCCTTTCTGTATGATTCTTTTTCTTGTCATTATAATGAGAAAATAAAAATAAAAAGTACTCTTCCAGCAATGCTCCTATTTTTAAAATTATTATTATTATAATGAATTTATTTTCTTTTTATTTTTTGAGAACGGGGATTTATTATTTTAAGGAGCAGAGAATCTGTGACCGTGATTGCGACGCCGGGGTCAGTCGAGTGGAAGGTTCGGAATGGTGTTTGGCAGATTTTTTTATTTTATGATTTAATGCAATTGCTATTGACACGTGTACGATGAACCTGAGAACGTTTTCGGACAGAGTCTGGTTTGTCCTGACGTCCCCGTCAGCTTCCACCCAGCGTGTGGAACGGATGACGTGTACCCATGAAAGTGACAGATGTCAAGGGTATAATCGTCATTTAGACTTTTTAATTTTCTTCGAAGGGTTTTAAATATTGAGTTTTATACCTAAGAGAAAAATCGGTAAATTTGACTTTTAGCGGAAAATGGGATATGGTATGACGTAAGTTACGTCAAGCCACGTGCTTGAAGTGCTGGATCCCACGCCAACCAGCTATTTCCACAAGACGGCGGACTGTAAGGAGTTGGAAAATGTTTATAAAAGAAAGAAACCAATAGTCCATAGTCCATAGTCCATGGTCCATAGCTGATTTTTGATAATTAAATATTGCTGTGAGTTTTAATACGAATAGCAGTTTGCATGGATGTTAACAGATGCTTGCTTGATGGAAGTGGATCGATTTTATTTAGTCTCCTAACTAGTTTTGACTATTAGTAAATAAATTCGGGTAAGTTTTCAATAGTATTAGAGTGCGACTCGTGTTACACGTTAAGGATATAATTATTTAATGTATGAATAAAATATAAAATTAATTTACATTAATATAAAAATAAATATTAAATTAATATATTATTTATAAATATGAAATTAAATTTTAATTTGTAAAGATAATATCTAAAAATCAATAGATATTTTGATGGTTATTTGTCAAGTTAAGTTGGAGACTACTACCTTATTGAAAACACGGATCAAATTTTACAAATAATGCTATTTCTCCTATTAAAAACAAAGCAAGTTGAAAAATAATATATATATATAAATTAGTTACATGCAAAAAAGTTTAAAGTGAAATAAAAATAACAAATATAGTAAAAAAATAGAGATTTGGTTTGAAAGATAAATAAGTTGAGAAATTAAAAAGAAACAGAAGAAGAAAAACAAATAAAATGAGGAAGAAAGGAATGCAAAGAAAGACTAAAGCAAAAAAACTAGAAGAAGGGGATAAACAATTCTAGAAAGATAAACACAAAAAAACCTTGTAAAATTAAAACAATACTAATTAATTGCATTCTTGAAAACTAATCCAAAAACCACATTAATTTTAAAAATAGAAAAATTCATGCATAAAAAAATCATGGGTAATTCATATTTACTTATATTCCAATTTTTCTAAAAAGGGGATAGAATTATAAATGTAATTAGTAATGAAATTAAATTTTAATTAAAAGAATAATAACAAATTAAAAAAAGAGAGAGAAAAACTAAACAAATTTCAAAACTCACTAAATCTGCAACTTGATAATATGCTATCAATATAGGTTCAATAATATAAAATTATAAAGTGAATAGCTGGCTAATATTATATTTTGTAAAAATAAACTTATTTATGATATTTTTGAATATTCAAAAAGTAATTAAAAAAAATATCAAATGAGTTGAAAGATAAACATATAACAAAATAATAATGACAAACATGTATAATAAAGAATATATTTCTAGTAAAGGACATATTCTGACTCAAAAAATAATTGAAAATAAGCTTATATGATGTATATGAGATAAAATAAGTAACAAGTAAAAGAAGTCAATAATTGATACAATTTGAATAAAAGTGCAAGTAAATTATTATCTACAATAGAAAAGTATAACCTTACATCTAATCATATAAGATAAAAACCAATGAAAGAGTTTAAAAACTTAAGATAAAAGGCTTCTAGTTTCATGGAAGTAAAAACATTATAAGAATAAAAATAATAAAGAATCCAACTAATAAAACCTGGATAAACAGAAAATCATGAAATTGAGAAATAAAATAAGAACAATATATAAAATACCTTCGAAATAATTATAATTGGAGGTTATCTTAAACCTGTAAAAACTAAAATTGTACAACAAAATAAAGTGACACTAATCAATTGCATTCCAAAAAATTAATAAAATCATATCAACTTAAAAAATAAAAAAATTCATGCATAAAAAAATAACAACAATGGGTAGTTAATGTTTACTTGTATGACAATTTTTCTCAAAAGAAAAAACAAAATTGTAAACATTATCAGTAAAGAAATAAAACATTAAGAAATAATAACAAAAAATTAAAATGAGAGAAAAATAAAATAAAGAATTAAATCTCAAAACTTGCAAAAATATACCCGTTTTTTATGTTTCAAGTTTTTCTTTTCCTTTTTCTTTTTTTTTTCTTTCTAACGAATCATGCTCCCCATAATCTCCCATTTAAGACGCCTCGAACTTTAACATAAATAAAATACCTTCAAAATTAATAATGATAATTACACAAAATAAAGCAAATAACATACAATCATCAATGAGGAACAAATAAAAAACTTACAGTGAGGAACAAAAGCAAAAATCAATTACATGAGACTTAAAATCCCTAAATCCAAAAACATTAAAAAAAACAAAAATAAACAAAAAATAAGAAGGTAAAAAAGGAAACTCAACAACTAATTTCTATGACTTGAAGAAAAACTAAATGAAAGAACACCATAAACAGACAAAATCTATATTATTAAGCAATATGTTCTTTTAATTAATAAATTAATATAAAAATATGTTTTTATTTAAAAATCTATATTATTAAGCAATAGTTTGAAGCAAACATAAACAGACAAAATCATCCCTAACATCTTTCAAAATACGTAAAACCTCATTAGTAAAAAAAATCAAACACCCTCAACAAATAACAAAATACCACACATGTATTAAGGACGATTCAATCCAAATCAAGCCATCATGTGTCAAAAACAATTAGGTTATACAGCTGTCAACCAATTAGCTTATTTAGAGACAACTTTTAATATATGTAAATTAATATTTGATATGATTTTAAATAAGATTTGAGTTTAGGAATTAGATGCACACTATCTCAAAATTAATTATATATTTATCGATTTTGATTGTGTATTTGGGTAAAATCATATATAAAATCCATTTAATGTAAGAAGCAAATTTTAATATTGAGTTTTCTTTCATGTTTAATTTTTTTGAATTTAATATTAGGTTATTAAAGTTGAATTTATTTTATGATATTGATACCTTTTCTTTATTATTTAATATGTTTGCAGTGTTATATTGTAACTTATTAAATTGCATTTTCAAGTCAAGTGGAATATGAACTTTTAATTGCATATCCACCAAATAAACTGATTTGGATAATTAACATATATCACTAATCCGTTTCAAATAAGGTATGAATTATTAAATGAATTCAATTAGATTTCTAATATAACTAAGGTAAACAATTTTGATTTCGGGTTTCTAGTACTCTTTTTGCTTTCATTTTTTATGCTACTGCAAACTCAAATGTTCACCAAAACACAAAAATATATTACCAAATTTAACAATTTCACTGATAGAAATATTCATCGATAAAGGATGAAATTTCATTGGTAAGTTCAGTTATTAATGAATTACCAATGAAAATTTTCATTAGTATATAGTGGAAAAAATACCTTATTTAGTAAACCGCATTTCGTTGATAATTGAATATTCCATCAATAAATCTTCAATAGAATATTTTGTAGGACGGTATATTGGTCAATAAAGCATTCAATGTGTCAGTAGCATGATTGGTCGGTATTAATTGGTTTTTATCAATGATGTTCCAATTTCGTTAGTGATGATGTTTATTCCATTGGTAAATTGTGAAAGTAGTTGATGATTTTTAAAAATTAAAAAATACAAATACAAATATAAATGATGAATAATTTTAAAGATTGCAAATATATAAAGAAAATATTTTTTAATTAATAAAAATTACAATACAAATTGTATTATTTTAATTACAATCAATAAAAATACAAATAAAAAAACTTACAATTTTATTAAGAAAACAAATGGACAAAAATATAAACCTATCCACTAATATCATCGCTTGGTTACACATCCTCGTTATTAGAAAGGCTCATCGTTTGCTTTAATAAGATCTATTGGAAGCTGGACCCCAAGTTC